GGGCTGAGGACCTCCAGCTGGCCCAGCCCGTCGAAGGTCCTTTCTGCCAGGCTCCGGATCCTGTTGTGCCCCAGCTGCAGCTCCTCCAGGAACTGGAGGTCTTTGAAAGTCCTGGGCCTCAGGCTGTTGATGGAGTTGGTGGACAAGCGTAGGACATGCAGGCTCAGGAGGCCCAGAAATGTGTCCTCGAACAGCGAGACGAGCCGGTTGTGGGAGAGATCCAGCCACCGGAGGGACTTCATGCCCATGAAGGCACGGGGCGCGATGGCATTGATCTGGTTGTGGTTCAGATACAGCTTTTGTAGCTTCTGCAGCTTGACGAAGATGTTGATCTTGATGCCCTTGAGCGCGTTACCGCTCAGGTCCAGCTCCTTCAGCTCAGTAAGGCTGCAGAAGAGCTGGTGCTGGAGGTAGGGGAGCTTGTTCCCAGCCAGGATCAGCTCCCTCAAGTTGGGCAAGTCATGGAAGACCTTGTCGGGCAGGACCACAAGTGAGTTCCAGCCCAGGTTCAGATACCAGAGGTTGGAGAGCCCAGCGAACAGTCCTTCCTCCACCTTACTGAAATAGTTGTTGTTAAGGCTGAGGGACACAAGGTTCTGGGTGTGCAGAAAGGTGTGGGGAGCCAAGTGCTTGAGGCGGTTGCGTTCAAGGTGGAGGTGGTAAAGGTTCCGCAGGCCGTGGAAGGCGTGCTGCTCCACGGCAGCCAGCTGGCTGCTCTGAAGGTCCAGAAAGTCCAGCGCCGAGAGGTTCCTGAAGGCAGCGGCCGGCAGCAGGGTGAAGTTATTGCCGTCCAGCCAAAGGGCTTTGGCATGGGGGGGGACGTCCTGCGGCAGGTGCGTCAGGTTGCGGGCGCTGCAGAAGACGTTGAGCTCCTCACTGTAGTCATCCAAGCTGCAGGCACAAGGGCTGGGGCAGCGTGGGGGGTCCACGTCCCCCTGGTCCTTCAGGCTGTCCCCCCCGGGGGGCTGGGAGGCTGTGGCCAGCAACAGGGCCAGGGGGAGCAGGAGGGTGACGCCTGCTGAGGGGCACGAAGGAAAGGGGACACCATCAGCGTGGGGCCATGGCTGCTCTAGGAGACCCCCCCTGGGTGTCTGCGCTGCTGGGGGCAGGGGGTGGGTGGGAAATTCACCTCTATATTGCAGCAGCAGCTTCTCCCTTTTGTGGGGAAAGGCCCTCAACCCCCTCCCCTCCTTCCTCCCCAGTGACCCCCGCCATGAACTTGCTCTTCCTCGGAGCAGAGGGGTCTTGGTGTTGCAGCCCCTGCCTGTCACTGCAGCCTCTGTCCAGGTCTGTGGGTGCCTGCAAGCACCCCAGGTGGCACGAGGGCTCCAAAATGTCTTATTAGCAGTGGAGAGGGCAGAAAAGCTAAGGGTCACTTGAGCACCAAGCCCCAGCAGAGTTTTGGTGTCTCCCCTCACCCCCCTGCCCTGCCTGTTCCTCCCAGGACGGGCAGGTTCCCCTGCCTTACCTTTGCCTGTGCTCATGGTGGCGGGCAGGGCAGTGCTCCCTCTCCGCTCTCCGGCCCCACGGACTGCGCAGGGATGGATGGAGCAACCACCTTGACGCCTGTCCAGCCGCCCGCCCGGCCAGGCTTAACCCCACCGCTGCTGGGGCGGGATGTGGGCTCAGCTCCTGGGACAGCGTGGCCCGGGGCGAGCGTCACCAGGACGAGCTCCTCGCTTCTCCCCCCTGGTCTGTAACTGCTTTTATTGCAGCTCGGGGAGGAGGACAGGCGGGGAGGGTGGTCCTGCTGGAGATGGGGTTTGCGTGGGCAGCAAGCGTGGAGGGATGGATGGAGCAGCCTCATGGGGTGCCCCCCGGCCGTGCCCTGGGCTCCTGGAGATCCCCAAGCAGCAGCGCTGACCCTTCCCTTCGTGCCTGCCCTGCTCTGCTGGGGATGCCCTGGGGTGGGCCCTGGCAGCGGGACCTGAGAAACACACATGGGGCTTGCAGCTTCCGTGTCGCGCAGGGGGTTAGAGGGGTGGGGGTTACCCTTACCGGGAGACGGGCTGAAATGCCCGAGGTTTGATGGGGATATGAGTGGGAAATGAGTTGGAAAATGAGGAAAAAGCTCTTCTCAGTGTGGCACTAGAAGCCTGGGGGCTGAACCTGCAGCCCTTCGTGTGTGGAGGTGACGGTGGGAGCACCGCATGCTGCTCGGCTCGGTGCTGTTTTGCCCCAGGGGAATTAGAGAGCAAAGGCTGGGTCCCACCAACGAGGCGACGGCTGTGAGGGTCCCCTGGCTGTCAGCTCCTCTGGCAGCCCCGTGTACGGTGGGATGATGGTGGGTGATGCTCTGGGGCTGGCCCATGGTGCTCGCTGCCTGGCAGCTCACCAGAACCACCCCGGGGAGGCTGGTGACCTCGTTCTGTGTCCCAGGTTGTTTCCCCACCAGCGTCCAACATGGCTTCTGCAGAATCTTTTACCAGTTTCCAGGAAAGAAAAAAAATAAATAAATAAAAAGCCACTTCTCCCTAAGCGAGAGGAGCCCCATGAGCCAGCAGCGGCTGGATGGAAAAGCCATGGCTAACCCGCCCCGATGTCCTGGTAGCCCTGTTCCTCCTTGAAGACACACCAAGACAAAGCACGACTGTGCGCGTGGGAAGAGGCAGCGGAGCAAGATGGCCAGGCTCCAGCCTTGGAACCCAACTTTCCCACAAGCACTGCTTTCTCCCTTTCTTTTTGGCCACGAGCTGTGCTCTCCTCCCCCTTTATTTTTAATCCTCTTTTCCGGGAAATTATAGATCAGAGGGGAGAAATGAGAGATGGAGATACAGGCACCCACTAATAGGCGCTAAGCACATATTGACACAAGGTGTAATCAATCTGGAAGCTAAAAAGAGCTGAACCAGCAAGGGCTGGCCAGCCAAAACCCACAAAACCTCTTCGGGAAGTTTAAACGAGCCCTACCTGTGCCTGGGAGCGGGTTTATCCCTGCCTCCAACAGCACCTCTTTCAGGGAAAATAAAGAGGGTAAATAAGCAAATCCCTGCCCAGCGCGGCTCCGGTACGGGGAGGATCTAGACCTGTCTCCAGACCCGTCTCCACCTTTAAACCTCCTTGAGGGCATCTCCTCCAGTCGTGTCCCACCGCCTGTGGCAGGGGATGCTGGGACCCCGCAGCACTGCTGGTCCCTCCAGAGTCACCGGGAGTCCGACCTCATGTCTGCCTGGTGTACAGCGGCACCACAGCCGCCGCGGGGACCTCATTTTAAGTCCCCACCATGGAAGTCCTCCTCCCACTGCGGCCCCAGCCAGTGTGAACCTCCCCAGCCGATCCCCCCATCGTTCCAGCTCCGCAGCTAATCTCCCCAGCTGGGACCAAAGTCTGAGCTGCCCCACCTGGTTGCCATGGAGAAGGCTGTAATGGTATTAGGAAAAGCAGCAAAATCATAAAAAAAAAGTGCTTTTAAACCTATTTAAACTCTAAGGAATCATTACCTTCCTCAGCAGCCCTCCCGTGCCTACTGGTCCCTCCCCAGGGAGCTCCCCTCGCCCCGTCCCTTTGTGTGGGTGAGTGCTGCTGGCTGTCCCTGGGTTCTGTCCCCAGCATCTTGGGCTGGCCGAGCTGGGGAGGGACTGGTGCTGGTGGCCCTGCCAGGTCTGCTGGAGCTGGTGAGGCTGGTGGGACGCCAGGAGCAACCTGGTCCATGGGCCAGCAGGGACAGCACCGACCAAGCTTGAGCCCTGGGGAGGGGTGCGACATGGGTGATGCTGCCACAGCTGTGTTAGGAAGTATTTTTAGCAAATCTTGACAAATATTGTCCCCGTCTGGAGGAGAGCATCTTGCATTGCCAGGGCAACCAGCGCTGCTGCTCCTCATCCCGAACCAAAAATATGAGAGCTCTGATGCTGCCAACCGAGAGAGCTGGGACGGGTGACATTGGCATCCCAGAGCTTGTGCCACTCTCTTGGGGACACCTGCAGGGACCAAGCTCCCTCCTGGAGAGAGATGGACTTTGCCCGGTGCTCGTTGGCCGCTCACATTTCTAGTCATCCTGGTCCCTACCTATTGTGCTGCATCATTTTTCACTCAAAAAGTCACAAGTTACTGGGGATGGGGACCTGGCAAGTGGTGGCACAGGGTTTTGGCAGTTGCTGGCCAAGGTCCCCATCGCATCTCCGAGTGTTGGCTCACGCCCTGCTGCGGCTGCAGCAGGCTCCTGCGGGAAATTGGGAAAGGCGGCCAGTGTGCTGGCGGCTCTTGGGGCTGCTAACTACCACGCTGGTGTTCCGCATGGCCACATGACACTGTGTCACCTCCACCAGGCTGGCCGGGCTGGTTGGACCAGGAGAGGCAAGGACATCCCTGAGCCATGGCTGGAGGCACAGATGGGAAAATTCCCAAACCCTGAGTTATCGGGGAAGAGAGGAGTGCCTGGCAGTGGGGGGTCAGGTGGGAGCATGATGGAGGGGCCGCACGCCTTCCTCCTGCCAGAGGTTGCGTGGCCACAACCCCCCATGCTGCCTGCTGCCGGGGTCTCTCTGCCTGTCCTGTCCCAGCCCTCCTTCTCAGCGCTGCAGAGAACCAGCAGGAGATGCTGATGGGGTGACAAATGGGACACGAGGCGGCAATGGGCGCTTGCAGCCCAGCAAACCCATCATCTCCTGGCATGGCCGGCCGGTGAAGGGAGGTGATGCTCTTCCTCGGCTCTCAGGAGACCCCGCCGGAGCACACGTCCAGCTCTGGGGTCCCAGCACAAGGGCAGACCTGGACCTGTCTGGAGGGGACCACGGAAACGGTCAGGGGGCTAGAAGAGCCTCTCCTGAGGAGGAAGGCTGGGAGGGTCGGGGTCCTTGGGCCTGGAGAAGACCTTCCCGCAGCCTTTCAGGAGAGCAAGGCGTTTTTGTAGGAGCGACGGAGAGAACCTTTCCGCCCGGCGGGACCGGGCTGGGGGCCGCGCGGCCTCCCG